GAAAAGGGAGTTCAAAAACGCTCTGGAGAATAAAAAATGGGAGAGAAGAAAAAGGAGTGGGAGGTGCAGAGGGCAGAGGAGAGGGGAGGAGAACAGGAGAGGTATGCTCTGCTGGAGGACTGGGAGAGGAAAACCACAGGAAGGAGTGAGAGGGAGGGAAATAGAGGGAGAGAGGAGTAAAAAAAAAAAATGGGGAGGGAGAGGCCAGATCAGGGCGCCGTGGAAGCAAATGTTTCCTGTGAGAGGTGGAAAGACTCTGTGTGTTATTGTACGTTATACCCGAGGGGGGCATCCACTCTGTATGTGTGTCTGTACAGCTTTACACATACTTGTGTGTAGAAAAAAAACTTGTTTCTATCATTTATATGGAAACTTTGGTGTGTATATGCATGTGTATACCGCGTGCACTAAAGAGCTCCAGTGCACAGAATTTGAATTTGTATTTAGTTTATTAGACAAAAGTTCAAACACAGTATTAAAAACAAAAAAAACGACACATGAGATATTGTCAGCGATAACTAGACAAAGACCAGGACTTACTTCCACTGTGGTCCATCATATGTGAGACTAAATGTAACGGATATACGTAGGTATGTGCGTTGCTGCTTTCCTGAGGACTCGGGGGCATCTGTGTTTGTATGTGCGAACTCTTTTGCATACAACTGTGTGCAAAGTGTTTAGTTTCTGCTTATGTTGTTTGCTTGAGGGTGAATTGATGTTTATTTGCTTGTACAACTGTGTATGCATGTGTATACTACTGCGTAAGTCCACTAAAAAAGTGCAGTCCTGGGTGTGACCAGACCTATAAATGCACATGCACTTGTACTGTGTGTGTGTGTGTGTGTGTGTGTGTGTGTGTGTGTGAGAGAGAGAGAGAGAGAGAGAGAGAGAGAGAGAGAGTATTGCTATCTTTGTGAGGACACTTTCAGTTCTAAATGATTGTAATGAGGACATATTAGCTGGTCCCCACTACTTCAAAGGACTGTTTGAAGGTTAAGACTTGTTTAGAAGGGTCAGGATAAGGGTTTATGGTTAGGCAATTAGTAGACGGTGAAGGTTAGGTGCTAGGGGAATGCATTATGTCAATGAGGGTCCTCACAAGTATAGAAAAACAAACGTCTGTGTGTTGTTGCGTGAAAAAGGGTTACTCCTTACATGTGTTTAGAATATACACTATATGTGACTGTGTGTGCATGCATGTGTGCACAAGTACATATGTTTATGTGCAAGTGTGTGAATAGTAAAAGTATGTGTTTTGCTAGGCAGTAGGGGATCCATAAGAGGGTCCGGGCATGCTGCCCAAACGCAGGTCATTGAGGGAAAAGAGGGGGAGGAGCTGCTGGAGGTGGGTGGGGGGCTCACGTGTGGTTATGAGTTTTGCGCATGCCTGCTGGTGTGACTTCAGTCTGCATGCGTGCCTCGATGCATATGGTCCTGTATGTGCGTGCCGTCACAATACCTCCAAATAACAGCGCGTGTGTGTGAGAGAAGTCAACGAGGTTGCTGTGGAATGTGAAACCAGTGTGGTGAGGTAGCTGGCAGGCCGGCAGAAGGACCTAAACACTGACTTCATTGTGGTTTAGCCTCTGCCTCATATTATGTCGGGGGATCCTGTCGGTGATTGTGGAAGAATCTGTGGTGACAGCAAGTTTAGAAGTTAAAGAGGTGTACGTGCAGCTGGAAAGTTGCCAGTTTGAATCCCAGACTGTGTTTGGAAATTCAGCCAGTGAAAGTAAATTAAGAATGCTCTTACTGCCAGCTATCATTAAAGAGCCATATAGTGAGACAGACACCCAATAGAGGTTTTACAGTTGTGTCACAAATCGACTTGCAACCCACGTCTGGCGCCATTTAGGAGTTCCATTGGAGGCAAATACTGGCTAAATATATAACAACTGGATAGAAAAACAAATATCTGAAAACATTTTTTCTGCCGTGGGTGTAAAGTTTCAAGTCAGAGTGAAAACTCAGCAAGGTAGATTTGTTTCCATATTTAAAGCATCAACAGAGAACTTGTTGGCCCCTGTGGACAAAAGTGACCTCTCACAAACATAAGTAATGTTGCTAAGATAACATACTGTACATTCTGTTGTCTGTAAATTGGTGTTTGGTAAACAACATGGATATAAATTGTTAATTTGTAGCTCATATAACTTTTATAATCTGCAATATATTTCCATGATTTATTGTTTGTGTTATTTACTGTGTAAAAAATAACCTCGTAAAGAGTGGGTTGTTTGGTGGACAAACTATGTAATTGCAACTCTGCTTTCTAAATGGCTGTACTTAATTTATAAGTCAACTGACTTCATAAGCTAGAATTATACATGACAATTTATAATGATTTATAAATGTTAATATCAGCCCTGCCGGTGTATCGGTCAGCTCTCGTCTCTACTAACGGCAACTTCTGCTAGGTATATTCAGAGTAATCGGATTTACTAAATGATGGCGAGTGACGGTAAACTGAGCAGACCTGAGACCTGCAGAGATGCTCTTAAAACAAAAAGCCAGGCAGCTCTGAGGTGTGGATGTTGTGTAACAGTGAGAGCGAGAAGCAGAATATCACTGCAAACCAAAGTGTGAGTTGTGTCAACTTCTTTCACAGCAGCTGTCCGGCATTTCTTCACAGGTTTGATCCACTTCGCTGCAGAGTTTTCCCCCTTTGGTTTCGGCTTGTGAGATTTTTTTTCTCCCCCTTTGAAGCAGATATCTGGGTCTTGAGTCATTCGGTCTAACAAGAACTCATGAGTTGAGTCATGGACCAGGGTAGCTTTTTGTCTCATGCTTCACTCAGAGTATCATACCACCACGGGTGGAAAAATACTGCAAAATCTTGTTAAGCCCCTCAGTGAAGCTGACCACAGAAATGTAGAGGATCGCAATAACAAACCCACATCATAATGCTTCTCAGAGCTTTTTCCCTCAGGAACTGAGCAACAACCGAAATTCACAACACAGGATTGGACCCTGCTATCTTTCTCACATTGACTGAATGGTTGTAGAACTGGACAACAGCTAAATCTAGGTTATTGTAATTTCTGGGGTCAGAAGTAAAGCAGGTCTATAATTGGAAAAAACTTTTAATACTGAATACTGACATATATATTGAATATATATTTATATATATATATATATATAAATGCAAAATCCTCACCCCTATTGGTTTATTATTTGACCATCTCAGACATCATGATGGTGTTTTTCATTTTGACTTGTCATAATAGCACAGGTGTTGCTAACATCAACAGTAGCTCTGTTCTATTCCAGTGTGCCAGTAAGCAGTTACAGTGAGCACAGTGAACCAGTATACACAATCGCAGAACCCTGAAATGGAAACATCATTGATTTTATCATTTACATTTGTCCTACTGTGATAAGTTAAAATATCTTGTAGAGCCTGTAGAGATGATCGTTTTTGGCCCTGAAAAAGCTAACTGCCACATCTGTCTCATGTAGGTTACTGATGTGTCATTTCTTTAGATTTAAAAGTCTTAGTGACTGCAAACATTACATTGCATTTTAAATTAATTAAAGTATTATTATTTAAGTTTACCACACTAATTAATGTAAAACAATATGTTTTAACTGGAATACTATATTATTTAGGACCATTGCAGAGTTAATTTGTATTATTATTACTCCACTATTTATTTCAATATCAATATCATTGCATTGTTATTGTGTAACATTGAAGGTCATGCCTCCATTCCTCAGGGTCATTTTAGTGGTGATGGTTGTGTGTAAAAGTAAAGGGTTAAGAAAGTAAAATTTGCATGAATGTAAACTTATTTGAATGTACTGTACAATCTGTAGAGCCATATCATTTTAAATGTGTTATTCAAAAGAAATGTGAAGCTGCAAACTTTCAGCTGTCGTTAAACACTCACTGTGAATTATTTATGCCGTGTTTACCACAGTAACTACTTTTTTGTCTACAAGCCACAATATTTGTATAATAATTTAATAGGATCACATAGGATCCAACTGTCGTTGGGACTAATGTTACAGGATTTATTTCATAAAAATTAAAAACGCACACAGATTTTTAAAACAGAAAAAAACTAAAATGAAAGTTCGGCTGTCTGTAAAAGCAAAGTAGACACTTTTATAGAGATGATTTAAGTTCATGTGGCTGGTGTGTGTCACAGTCGCACTCCAGATCTAACTGTGCTTTGCACTGACGTCAATGGCGGACTGGTGCAGAGTAATTGTACTACAGCAAAAAAGTATGTAAACTACTACAATCCTGCAGTCTCATTGGCTGTTTTGATTCCCTCTTACTGCTCTCAAGTGGTGTTTTCAGATGTAGCAAACAGCTTTTTTCAGCAAATAAGCTCTCATAAGCCCACTGTCTGTTACCGGCCCAGCACCTAACAACAGACTGACACCAGTTAGTGACTATTAACATAGTGGAGCATTTAGTCGCCTAAAGCGTCGGTATTTGACGACCTGGGAATGAGACTCATCAATCAACTATCTTTCTCCAGAATGGCTGACCCCACTTTTAAGAGTCAGATATTTCCCTCCTCAGCTTTTAGAGACCAAAAGTAGAGCAAAAAGAGAGTTAATAGTGTCCTCAAATGAATTGCTAATGTCGCTGTGTGTCTGGTAGATCTGTGAATTTACCCCACCAGCTTTATAAGTTGACAGATTTAGTATCAGTGTTGTGTTTACAGCTTATACTGCTGCTAAAATGCCAAAAAAATAAAAATAAAAAGTTAATGCTGATTGAAACATGAATCTAAAAACAAAAACACATTTTGCTAACAATCTTACTGCACAAAATTGAAAAAGTAAAATCACTTATACCCTCAAGAACACACTGAAAGCTACATTGGCAGGCAAATCAACATGGCTGAAGACATTTGGTGCAAACATCCAAAGATAGCGTTCATAACAAGGACAGTTAAATTTCTGATACACTGAACATTCAATCGAGGATAGATATTGAGAGTTGTTAATGACGGATTGACTGCATGATGGTGCTCTCTCTTCAGGTGGGCAGGAGCAACCAGCAACCATGCTGTCATTGGACGAGCCGCTGGACTTGAAGCTTCCCTCAGGACGGACAGACTGTCCAGTGAGATTAGGAAAGAGGGCGTATCCCTCCTCCATCTGCGCCCCTCTCAGCGCCACACGACCACGTCTGCTATGCACAACGTTTCCTTCTCCACCCTCCTCCCCAGGTAAGAGTTAACCATGAAAACTGCAGCACAGCATACGGTATTCTTCACAACAGACCTATCGACAAAGCCCCCATCCTTTCTCCCCTCTCTCTAATACACACATGACATGCCTTTGCTGCCATGTAGCCGTGATTAAGATTAAGATGTGATAATGTAATTGTATAATAAGTAGATTCTGTGTTCTCACTTTCCCAGTAACTTAATATTGGAAATCCAGTGAATGGTAGCTCTCTTCTATCCTCCAATAGACATACATTGTCCCCAGATTTGTCAGTGCAGCTCATAACAAGGAGAGCGTGATACTGACACGAAGTGACCCAAAAGATAACTACAACATCGCCTCTGCTCTGTGACAGTGTGAATGGACTGTATGACCTTACAGACCAAGTGTGGAATAATGTGCAGAATGTCTAAAGTGTGGTTGTGACTCTTATTGTCTATGTGATTTTTTTATTTTACAATGCCCTTCTTGGGCTTCAATGTTCACATGGGTCTTTGCTTCCTTAAAGCAAGATGGGCTGTACTAGAAAACTGTGCACTTAAAACAATATGAATCAGTATTTTCCCTCATAGTGACTAACCACGTTTTTTAAGCCAACTCTACAGTCCTAGTTTTTTTTCCCCCTCTTAATTGTTTAATATTGTTTCCCTCCACAGACAGCTGTTTTAAGCAAAAATAAAAGACTTTGATAAACCCTCACATCCCTGGCCCGCTCACTCTCCAGCAACACATTGCCGGCTGACATTTTGTACACCTAGAAGTTAAAGACCGACATCTTCTTAAGTGTTTATTAGCAACGAGGGGAAATTAGTCGGGTGGTCAATAACACAATTTACCCATAACAGTTTATAGAGTGCTAAAGACTGACTCTGACCTCGCCATTGTTGCATTAGTATCTGTAACTGGATGTGTAATTTCTTTCATCTGTCTTTCTGTAAAGAGAAACATATTTCAAACCTTTGTGATTATAGCAAGGTTAAACCACGATTAGTTTGTTAGCATACAAAAAAACTACAGCTCCAGTGAAGATTTATCAGCACGGCCTACTTTGTAACCTTTTAGCTGTCATCTCTGCTGTCTCACAGTGAGATCTAGAATCACCATTTTGAATTGATTGAAGATTTTATCACATTTCTCTCACGATTGTCTGACAATCAGCCCAAAATGGCACAGTGTAAAGGGGCCTTTACTGTTTCCCTGCTTCAACAAGAGGCAAAGGAGGTGGTGGTGGTTATAACAGCAAAGGCACCATATTTCCTTTACCTTGCTACGGTAAATTTAACATTGCCTTGATATAGAAAGGTTTTACTTCAGTGTATCAAACGTAACGTCCTCCCATTTCAACTCTGATCTCCAGATTCCCAGTCTTCCTCTCAAGAACGACTCAGGTCCTGCTTCAGTCCTCCAGCCATGGACCTCAGCCTGTCACCCTCCTCCCGCCATGCCTCCTCCCTCTCCCCATCTCCTTCCTCCCCCTCGTCCCTCTCCCCTTCCTCACCCCTGGAGTCCCCTCACAGCAGCCGCAGCCCTCAGCCACATCTCTTCTCACGGGTGAGTCCAGGTGTCCGCGCAGTAACAATCAAATGACAGTGGTGTGTCATTTTAAAGTGGATTTTTAGATTTGATTTCAAAAGTTGACTTCCCATTTCACGGCGTGGCTCCATGACAGACGATGACTTCAGCCCATGATCCTTTTTATCAGATATGGATATGGTCAGGTTGGCAGGTGCAAAGTACATTAAACACTTTGATGGAAAGACAAATAGAAAAGTAATTCTCACAAAAAGTCTAATGAATACAGCCAGAGAAGACGCTTTCCAAGTGTCAATATCCAGTTATGGAAATCTATAAAAATCATATCAATCAGACGCCATATAAGAATGGTGATTGATACCACTCTCATGTTTATGGTGTCAATGTGATGCCACAGCCAACAGCCAGTCAACTTAGCCTAGCTTAGCATAAATACTGGATACAGGGGGAAACAGCTAGCCTGCTCTGTCCAAATGTATCAAAACCTGCCTACCAGCATCTCTAAAGCTCACTTTTTAATGTTATATAAGCTAACAGGTACCAACTATGAAATTGCTTCTGTCCTTTGTCATGTCTCAGCTTTAGGTAGCATACAGTGTTTTTTGGTGTTGTTAAGCCTTCTTGCTGTAAAACAGTAAAGCAGTTAAATTATGGGTTGGATAGTTCAATAATGTGCTAAAACTCACTATAAAGCTTCGTAAAGCTGAGGGCAGCTGCAGATTCAGGTGATAATTCTCGGTAGGTACATCACTACAATCAACCCCTTTGACATTGTCATTCGATGCATTTCATCACAAGAATCAAACTGTTCTGTTTCATAAAGCTACGTTCGAGGAAAGACTGTTTTGTTTAGGTGTGCATCTTCATGTCAGCAGTTAATCCATGATGACAGTCTTCTTCCAGCCAACTACTGATTGTGGCTGAATGCCCTCCACTCTTCTTCAACAGGACTGAATTGAATTGGGATCCTGGGAGTGAATCTAATTTGTTGGTGCAATGTCTGCACACAGCACACAGCCATCCACTGACTCTGTCTAAATCAAATTCTAGCCATGCTTGAATGGTAAAACATGAAACACACAGCTTCTTTGTTAGAGCATCAAATCTCCCATCTCGGCTCAGATTTATCTTTTAGCTCAGAAAATACCGATTTTAAATTGTCTAACTCATTAAGGGTGGACTGTAAAAAGCACTCATTATTTCTCCTAGACATGCTTCAAAGATGTCTTTGAAACAGTTTGCAGCACATTTTTGTCCACAATCAGTCACATGTGTGAAGTTTCTTCCAATTTTAAACATGCAGAACCATCTTTAGAAACACCTTTATTTCATCAGTCAGTTCTATTTTTTATTCTTAAGAATAAAATGTATTTAGCCAAGCAGTATAGCACTTAAACAACAATGTTAAACAGATTGTAAATCTCTAGCAACAGTAATATTCATCAGAGTAAACAAGACGAACAGCACCAACAATAGAATTTTACCTTCTCCTATTACCATTTATGAATCATTCTTCTTTTCAGTAAGGTCAAAGGTGAGGAATCCCAGGGCTCAATACCAGGCCAGGTTCTTTTCTCATTGTTAAGACAAGAACTTTATTAATCTTGAGGGACATATTTTTGTGCCAGAGATCTCTCAATAATTACAGTAACACTAGAATAACAAATATAAACTTTTTAAAGAGTAAATGCTGACACCAGTTCCTAAAAGAATAAACATATAATCAAATAAGTTCAAACTTAAATAAACTAGAATAGAAAAGTAATGTTGGCAATGATATTAAAAGGTAATATTGCACATTCTAATGAAATTACTGTTCTCAGTGTCTGATGTGTCAGCTTTCTCTCCGACAGAAGGGGGAGGAGTTACACAATTTGATGGCCACTGGTAGAAAAGGCCTGTGATGTCCGCCATGTTCAACCGCCATGTTTCTACCGTAGCACAGAACGGACAAAGCAAACACCGGCTCTAGAAAGGGCTGCTCGCGATTTTGTACACATTTGGGCCACCGTAGTTTCTCTTATGTACTTGAAAAGAGTGAGTAAAGATGCAATCTGCAGCTACACCACCACTAATTCCTACACAGTTAAAATGTGTTCTCTGCCAGTGCTGGATGTGCTACAGTTTGTTTTTAAAAAAAAAAAAAAAAAAAAAATCATTGAACTAAACAGTTTTTTTCTCTCATCTAGTATTGAATAAGTAGCTAGTGTCATGGCATTATGAAAGCTGTCTGACCTTTGAGACAAAGGAAAATATAACAATCCTGTGTCTCTCTTTTACTCTTTTTACAGAACCTTTTACACAGTCAAAAGTCAAGTATTCACTAAAACTAAAATCGTTAAAAGGTTTAGAGCTAATTTGTTTTAAAAAATGACTGTAATTAGACAGGCGGCAGTAGATAATAGCCACAAGTGATGCAGACACCCTTGACACATTGTGACTGTGTGTCATTCTGTTAACAGAGTGTGGCAGAGACAAGAGATCCATTTCATGTCTGTCTCCACTGGTGAAGTAATGGCAGTGCTGAGAGATATGCTTCATGGTATTTGCAGGGTGCACTGGACAAATATATTCCCCCAAATATTTGATTACCAATATTAACATATTTTTGTTCAGCTTAATGCAGATGTATCACTCATGTGTCTGTGTTCATGCTGCATTCATGCAGTACCAGTGGAACCGGAAGAAAGGGAAAACCTACGTTATTCCGTATTGGGACACAGTATTCTTAGAATTCTTTTGTTGTTTGTTGACTTATCTCTCCATCTTCCTCTCTCTCAGGAACCAGTTCGTCACCGAGGTGTGGAGGGCGGAGGTTCACCACAGGGTTATCCGTTTTATCTGCCGATTGGAAGCCCACCGAGGCCGTACAGCTTTCCCTCCTCCATATTCATTGGTCAGAACAGAGAGAAGCAACTTTCACCAGAGCCCTCGTTGGATGGTCAGCTGGCCTGCCGTTGGATGAAGGTAAATATAATTGTGAATACAAATCCGATGCACTGAGTGTCTACTGTAAGAATACCACAGTGGGCTGGGTAAAAGACTGCAACTATTACTCTGACCACTAGGTGATGCTGAAAACAAACTCTGAAAACAAGGACTTTATTTAAAGTTAATTAAGATAGTATAAACTAGTTTGAATGTTTTAATAGATTCAGGAAAAAAAAGTATACTGAAACATAATTTTCTAATAATAAAACCTTTAATGATATTACATTTACATTCACAAAAAGTCATTATGGATTGGGAACTTTTAATTTAAAAAAAGGCATAAAATCTGGATGTCAAAACATGTATGATGTGGGAACTTCTAAAAAAAACAGTCAGAGAAATTATGCAGTATTTTTAATTTTAATTTTATTTTTTTAAGTTTACCAACTGAATTTACACTCAATGAATAATCTCTCTCTCCTTCTCTACCCTCCAGTGCCACCTGCTGTTCGACTCGCTGCAGGACTTGGTGGATCACATCAACGACTTCCACGTCAAGCCTGAAAAGGATTCTGGGTACTGCTGTCAGTGGGAGGGCTGTGCTCGTAATGGGAGAGGGTTCAATGCAAGGTATGTTCACAGTGTTATTCACTGACATTTCAACAAACATGGGTTTATGTTGTCAGCCTGGCCGGTATTGGGACAAATCATGACCGCAGGTCCGCCCTTTAAAATCTGATTTGCAGTAAGCGCAGATAAAACTTGAATATCAGCAGATGAATGTAAAAACATCCTTCTAGTGTCAAACTCTGCACATACATCATTCTGCACGGTGAAGCTCAAACATCACACTGTAGGAACATGAAGAAAGTGGAGGCTGACTTTAACAAACCAATTCAGGCTGGCTTTACACGACAATGCTCCTGGGTGAAACCGACAAAATATTTTATCAGATGTGCCTTTCGTTTAGACGGCGACGGTGTTTTCAGGGCTTAAAAAGGCAAAAAAATTAACCCACCCTCCAGAGTGGAAATCTTAAAAACACTCCACCGTTGAGTTTCCGTCTAAAGGGTTAACAACGCAAAAGTGTGCTCTGATCTACTCACGCTGGCTCTCGTCGCGTATGCGTTGACGTCACCTAGCCACCTGGCATGCATACTACATCAAAGTTCACAGACTTTTGCGTCACCGTGTGCACGCAGATTTCCCCCCAAAGATGCTCATCTAAACGCGGAATAAAAAGTGGGAACGCAACGCCACTTTTGCGGTTTGTGTTCAGATCGTTGTCGTCTAAAGCCAGCCTCAACGTTTGCAATGCAAATCTCCTGTTTGGACTGTGTGAAAAACTCTTTACTACTGTGTACATCTGTCTTATATGTAGTGATTGGCCTGTGTTGCCTTTGAACAAGTTAAATGTTATTAGCAAGTGGTTGTGTAACAATATTGGGTAAAAAAAAAAACATAATGTCAAAAACATGCCACAAACAAGGGAAATGACTCCTGTGTTAACATAAATAATAGATTTTATTTACATAGCACCTACCAAAGTTAATAAATACACATATAAAATCATACTGTCACACAACATGAGAAAAGTAAACAGTTAATAAAATGTTTTATCAGTTCATACACACAGACAGTTATCCAAACTAAAGTTAAAGTTAGAAAAATGATGAAAAACACAAAGGCATTTAATTTAAATTGATAGATATGTCATTAAAAATATACAGAATTGTACAATTGTCATTTCTTTGTTTTGTTAATGCTGTACTGCCATACCAGCAAGACCCACACCTGAGAGTTTAACAGGTATCAGGTTTGTTTTCAGTTCTATTGTATTTCATTATCACACATTCATGTCATTTTATCCCATGTAAATGATCCCAAGTAGTTAAAAGCAACATTTAACTGCAGTAGTTACCTGGTTCACATAGTATTACCTTGGCAGTAAAGAAAAAAGAGTGTGAATGAGTCTAGTGCTTTGAGTTAGGCAGGTTATTAGACTGGATTGTGACAGTTTACACGTCACAGTCACAGCCACATCTTTAAAAAAGCATTCATAAATAAACAGCACACTTTCTTATTATGCTTTTATGTTTTTATAGGTATAAAATGCTGATTCATATCCGCACACACACCAATGAGAAGCCACACCATTGCCCCACCTGTAACAAGAGCTTCTCCCGTCTGGAGAACCTGAAGATACACACCCGTTCACACACAGGTGAGTTCACAATGACAAATATCAACAGTGATTCATACTACTAAGTACTACTAATTGTCCGTGCATCCAAAGCCTGATATATCTTATTCCTCTCTGCTGGAGATGTCCAGTGTTGTCCATAAACTATTTAAAAACGCATCAACGAGACACACTTTTGAACTGGATGACATGTTTTCTTTATTATATACATGAGCTGTGTATTTCTTTTCCCAAATTAACATCTTCCAGCTTTAAATACTACCTAGCCAACCAAATGCCTGAAAGTAGTCCCCAACAAATACATTATTTAGTCTTGTTTGAGTAACGTTTGCTAAAAGCTTTAAAAACCGGTTGTTTTAGAAAATGACTGAGCCTCTTTCTGAAAGATTTACCTTCTTCATGAGGAACAAACCGCCTTGGGACTGACAGCCAAAGGCATGGAAGGGAAGTCAGAAAGTGTTAAGAAATGGACTAAACCCTTGTTGGCTTTTGGTTCATTTCATGCGATTTGTTGACAATAACAAATATCGTCTTATCCTTTAAAAGACTCGAAACTATTGCACACAAGGGTTTATGTTTGTTTCCGAAGTGCAGGGGACGTGGAGGGGATGTAAGGATGGGGTGAAGTTGCGTGCAGGGGTCCAAAGTAAGAAATTAAAGCATCTGTATTTTACTGACTTACACATTCCAATTCATTTCCGCATTGTGGTCTCCGTGGTTCTTTTACCCTCAGTCAGAAGAGTTAGAAATGCAGTGCTAATTCATGTTCTGTTAATGTTTTAATATTTCAAAGAGTTAAAACATTTCAAAAGATGATATATTTTCAGCTTCAATCTCTCAACTCCTTTTTTACAAAAGCTTAAATTAAAGACCAGGAAATATGGTTTTAGCAGCAACCGACTCTTAAGTTTATATAAAGAAACTATAGTTGGTTTTACAGGCTTAGCTATTTGTGTGCAATTTATATGTCCCTTTAGGACTATGTTATGATACACAATGTCACATTGGTGTAAAAATAAAATATACTATTTCCCCTTTATAAAGTTATGGCGCTTGTGACAGAAAAATAATAAAAAATGGCCAAAATCAAACCAGAAAAGACCAAGATATCCTGACTTTAACCCCTAGTGTTGGTCAAACTCACTGGACCAGGATTTACCTCGTAATAATTGCACATGTACAGTTAGTTATACACTGTTTTTTGCACACCATATTCCTTTATTGCATACTGCATATATATATATATATATATATATTATAGTTTTTATATCCTCTATTATATCCTTATTGTATTTTTACACTTTCTACTATTTACAATACACTTCCCCTGTACTGAACCTGAATTTCTCCCACTGGGGAATCAATTCAATTCAATTCAATTCAATTCAGTTTTATTTGTATAGCGCCAATTCATAACAGAAGTTATCTCAGGACACTTTTCAAATAGAGCAGGTCTAGACCGAACTCCTTATAACATTATTTACAGAGACCCAACAGTACCACCATGAGCAAGCACTTGGCGACGGCGGCAAGAAAAAACTGCCTTTTATCAATAAAGGAACATCTTATCCTACATCTCCTACAATGCAGCTGTTGTCATCAACCCACATTATAACAGAACAAGCTTTATAGCCCTGATGACATCACAATGACATCATATTTTTTTCAGATTTTACAAAACATCCTCCGAAGCCACAGAAAAACGGGATAGAAATGTTTTAGTTGTCCTCCTCCTTACCAGGAAACTGATCTTAGTGTGGAAGGTCTGTGGACTGCTCTCCTCCCGTAACGGTGACTCTGGAATTAAACCTGTGACCTGTTTTTGTGACTGTGATGTGAACGCGGAGGCAGAAAGACTGCAAATAGCAGACTCTTCTGCAGCCTGTGTGCACTTTGTTTTGTGTTTAATTCCCACTGGGGCTGCTAGGCTCAGTTCACTGACACTTCCTTCACTCCTGCTAATCAGTTTATCAATTTGTTACCTTTCCTACTTTTGTTTAAAATTGCGTAGCTGACATGTTGAGCTGAGTTTATGTCAGCTTAAACATCCTGTAGATAAGTCTGTGTGTTCTAGATTGAACCATCTCAACAATTACTTGCCATGGAATTTGGCACAGACATTTGTGACGCCCAGATTACTTATTCTACGGACTTCATCCCCTTACTTTTACTCAGGCACCACCATGAGGTTGACCTGTTTGTTTTTCACTGAACTTCCCCAGCAACTATTGGATAACCTGACTGCGCCCAATGGTTTGTTACACAGAACCAACCGGTAACTGGAAACTGTTTGCAAAAGGACAGGCACTTTCAAAAACATCTTTTCCATTGAGAAGTGTTCAGTGCCGTTCTTTGCTCTTCTTTTAATGAATAAATACAGATTCTAGCAGCATCTACGCTAACCTGCTAGCCTGTAAAGATGGATTGTCACGTGATCTTGCGATCTCTACTAAGTTGGTGAACATGATATTATACCAGCTAAACGAGCTTGAAGGGGCATGTGGAACCACAGAGATGAATCTGTGATTTTTACTGAAACTACGTGAGTCTGGTCTTTCCCCTAAACTGAGAGAAATCAAACAAAACACGAAACAAACCGAGAATGGATTAAACTTGTATCATCATCTGTCTTAACGTGTCCTTTTGTCGCATATTCAGCCTTCATAATGTACTTAAGATATGAATGTATTCTGCCAGTAGGTGGAGGGACAGTGCACTTTGTTCCCAGTCTTGTTTCAATATCTCGAAACAAAACAAGGTAAGACAGAACGCTCACAAACAGCAGAGAGACAGATCAGAGCTTGTTATTTCTTCTTTAAGAAAAAAAGGACAAGATGAAAAACAGGATCTCAGAACTGAGTAATCATTTACGTACATAACAGCAAACATGAATCCTTCACCTGCTGTCATTTGATAGTGGCCCAAGTGCTTTCATTTTGTTATGTTCTGCTCTGCTTACTATCAGTCAGTCTGACACATACATGACTCCTCGCTTTCTTTTCCTAGTATGAGTGTAATCTTTTCAAACCAAGCCACTAGGAAATTACTGGCACCATAAACACTTCAGTGATATGCACCAAATAAGCCATTCATTGTAATTTGAACAGGATCCGTATTGATGCATTTGAAAGTTCCTGGTGAGTCATTTCACACCTATGAATGACCAACATTTACATGGTACACACAGCTTTCATTTCATAAGGTGGGGTTACTTTAGAATGACACAAAAGGTCACGGAATCTGGTGTAACTGGCTTTATTGTTCTCTTTATCAGTTCCTCATTATTAAAATGAGTTATTCTGTTACCTGATATTTCTGTCCGTGTATACCAGGAACTGTCATGATGCAAAGTCTAACCTATTGAGACTTTTAGTCATATCACATTAGCCTTATCTTCAGGTTGATTTCACCATAGCTTAGTGTGCTCCTGCTATACTAGTGGTATACTCTTTCTCAAAGTGTGTGTGTGTTGTTATGTAATGTCACCTGTGGCTCTTGTGTATTAAAGTCTGAGAAAATATCCCCTAATGAAGTCACAGAGTTATCTCAGCTTGGGTACAGAACATTTTGAACAGAAATCCTGCGTTACAAACAGCTTTATCTCTATTATCTTTCACAAGTGTGATACAAAATTGCTGATGTACCACTTTAAAGTCCTTGTAAATGAATGACACAGGAAATACATACTGGGATCCGTAATTTCCTCTCTTTCTGAACTTTTGGTTCAGGTTCACTGTAGTGCAGAATTCTTTTTATCACAACATATAACTGAATGTTGCTTTCCATGGCTCTTCCTCCTGCACTTCTCTGACTTTGTATTTTTACTGTAATCAATTGTCCTAATTTATTCATTCTCCCTCTGATTACTTTTACTCTCTCTCCCTTTTTCCTCCTCTAGGAGAAAAACCCTACATCTGCCCTTATGAAGGCTGCAGCAAACGTTACTCCAACTCTAGCGACCGTTTCAAACACACCCGCACCCACTACGTTGACAAGCCTTACTACTGCAAGATGGCAGGCTGCCTGAAACGCTACACAGATCCCAGCTCGCTACGCAAGCACATCAAGGCCCATGGGCACTTTGTTGCCCAGGAACAAGGTGCTCAGAGCAGGCTGGGGCTTGGTCATCCAGGGCACCAGAGTGCCGCTGAACTGCCTTCTCTAGGCGGGGCCCACATCATCATCCCCGGGGCTGCTGCAGCACTTCTTGGAGGTCTGGGGACCTCTTTGCCTCTCTCTGCTTTCTGCCATGCCAGAGCCCTGGGCCACCACGGGGCACCGCTCTTCTCTGTTGGTGGAGGAGGAGGCAGTGGCATGGGGCCGCTCGGCCTCTCAGACTCTCCTCTGTTACACTTTGGGCTTTCAGCTGTATCCATGTTGGGGCTGGGAGCACTGAGAGGTCTGGGACAAATGGCAGAGAAAGAGACGGAACCTGAAGAGGAAGAGGAGGAAGGAGAGGTGGGGCAAGTGCTGAACCTGTCTGCAGGGGTGGGGCCAAGACAAAGCGACCCTTTGTCCTGGGTGGTTGTCCCCCCGAGGGCACTCCTTCTTAAACCAGCAGTCGTCAGCTAGGATGTGCACACTGCAATGCACAGAACCAGGGAGGGTGTGTTGGTCTTTTTCTGTATCAATGTTTATATGCTTGTATGTCCGGGTGTGTGTATTCAGACATACATGCATGATTATGATGAGTGTGTGTGTGTGTGTCTGTGTGTGTGTGTGTGTGTGTGTGTGTGCATGTGAGGGATCAAAGGTCGCTGTCACCTGCAGAGCCATATAAAACACTTCAGTCATTCCAACCCTGAAACAACTGAAAACGGACTGAAAGACTGAAAAGTACAGAAGTGTTTGTGTTGAGTGTACAAAACCTAAACGACTTTTGGGTGTTGGGTTGCAAAAAGTTTTATCACCATGCGTATTTCAACTCTCAAACTTTAAGGGGTCAATTCACCCAAATTACAAAGAAAAGAAATACTCCTTCCTAGCTGATTTTAGATATCCTTCTTGGACTTACTTAATGCTGAAAACAGCATTAAAACGGACATTTGATTTAACAGTGAAATTCAACTTGTCTTTCCACAACAGTCCCTGTTGTTTGAGATAATCCACAGGCATCACTTTGAACCATTTCTTTATTTGAACTACTTTGCAATAAGATTTTTAAATGTGAGATTTAATTTAAGATTATTGTCACTGTGAGAATGTTTGCAAGCTGACATTAATTTGTTGCTCAAAGCCAGGGCTGGTAGCGTGGTTGTAGTAGAGCCCTGTTGCAATGTTATGAATCTTACAAATCAAATTCTGTATATATGAAAGTGGAGATGTCTTAGAGGTTGATATCTCAAACCTTTGGGACACAAAACCACATCTATCTGCACGGACTGACATGTGATTTCGGTGAAATGACCCTTTAATATTCCTCGACTCACCTATCTCCTCCCATTCAACATTTTACAGCTGACAATCAGCTGAATCAGATTTACTAAACCAGGCCATGAAAAGAGCTGGTACACTAACCACTTTGTAGTTTTTATCTCTGACAATCTCCACTGACTGCTTCCACACACCCGTTTTTTTGCTCATAAATAAATATGGGGACAAGCATGACTATGGGGAGCAATGAGAAATACAGTCCATAAGCAATAATATAATGTACCATTAAATAATATGTATAAGCATTGTAGACTTAATTAAGATCTACTTTTGTTACATACATCTATAGTTTGTGCAATTAAGGGGTTACATTTCAAAACATGATATCAATCATTCAGTCAATCACCAACTCCAATAAAAAGTCATGTAAAAAAAAAAAATGCAGCTGTTTACAAAATATTTATGTTCTCGAGCAAATAATTATGTTTTTGAAACAGATTTTACACAGTTGTCTGGTCACAAAATGGATTTAAAGCGATTTAGAATCAAACCCTTCGATGTCTGACTCACTCACTTGTTATTTAAAGAAGGTTTCTGTGGATTTAATCTGGTACATTAATTGTTGTGTAAAACAAGTGCACCTGACGTTACTCCTTAATTGCTTCATTATCCAGCCCACAGCATTCGAAATAATTAGCCCCCTCGGGGGAAATAATTCAACCCTCCCAAGCCTTAATGCCACGCATCAAATTTATGGTGTAGTTATCTCACTGCGATGTGTGTGACAACAGGTTATAATCCACACAGAGCTATCTGTTTGACCATGTGATTTTTAAAGTCACAAGAAGAAACAAAAAAACAGTGTTGACGCGACTGAATGTAGGTTTGAGATTAACTCCCTTATTTGTATTTTATCTCTTTGCTCTATCAATCATTCCAAGACAATGATCTAGACAGGATCAGCCCTGCTTTTTAGAAAAGACTTTGCATTGACGAGAACAACAGGAACAGGAACAAGGTAGACAAAGGTGTGTATTAGGCAATAATGCGTACACATTTGCTTCAGATGAATGTTAAAACATAAAAAGGTACACAAGAATAAGCCAAACAATGGTTTAAAAAACTGTCTCTCCAGTACTTTTGAAGGGTGAATGTCTGACAATGGCCACATGTGGCCAGTATCTGTGTTGATTTATCTTGTATTCTTGTTTGCACATTGATTTATCCTAATCAGTATTTCAAAGGTGTCCAAGTGCCTTGTGTTTCAACCGAAATATATCACACAGTATATGAAAAATATTTAGACAAGTGTATAAATGTACTTTTCATTACATTTTAGAAAACTGAAATTTAATAACTTGACAACAGATGTGATTTGTACATCAGGGCCACTGCAACCCTTTCCAAGGACGTCACCAGTGTTGATGACTATGACAATGACTCAATGTCAATAAACACAAACAACTGAAAATAAAATCTCTCCTGTTGTTTTAATTTCAGCACACCCCTACACTGTGTATGACAATGAAATATGCCTAAATATTTTTATTTCATTTTAATTGCCTGTAAAACAACTTAATAATGAACTCACATATGTGCAAAGATAAACCCAAAACAAGGAAAACATTACAAAACTGAATTATTATTTTCAAGTTGAAATATTGTTTGCACGGCATATTGCCTTTATTAGATAGGACAGCTCAAGATGGGCAGGAAAGGGGGGCAGGGGGCGACGCCCAGCAAAGAGCCACAGGTCGAATTCGAAGCCTTGGTACATCGCACACCTGCTCTACCAGGTGAGCTAACAGGGACTTTCAGGAACTAAAAAGTAACCAACTGACCGTTTTAAAGCTATTTAAAGGTATACTGTATTTCAGAAGCATTTTTGTTATATTTGTTGAAATTCTCTTTATACCCAAACAATCAACCAGCAATCAATGAATCAAACACTCTGAATTATTCATTTTAATTTGGTAACTGTGGCTGTGTCAGGCCCGTAATAAGCCCTTCCAATCATTTAATTCGAATTCAAATGAAATCTACCTGTCTACCTATCAATCTGCCTACCTTCACACACTCTGCCTCAGCTTTAGAGGGAGGCCTGAATGGAGGGGGTGGGATTTTGTCAGGTTCAAAATCTGTCTCTTGCTAGTTTCTTCAATTTTATCTAGCTTTAATAGCTCCAGTGAGAAATAAAAAACAATAAGTTGAGTTCCCTGATGATATCTATATACTTTATACAATGAGTGTGTCCAAGTGCTGACATTGGGGTAGAAATGCCCCGCATAGCATGGTGCTATTAGTCTCTGTGTAGATATAATACAACACTGGGCTTACATAACATCTGATATGAGGATCCTCCTACAAAACGGAACTACTACTACTAAACAATATAACACAACATGCAAAGTACCACAGCAGCAGTTACGGATATATTTATTGATGTAAATGAAAACGAGTCCTTCCTCATACTTGTGGTCTTAAGCTGACGTTTGCTCCCTTAATGCAGAGTTCAAATTGATTGTGTAAGTTGTGAGGCTCTTACAAAGCTGCAAAGTTTACAACTTTGTGGACTGCTGTTAGCCTGCTGACTTTTTGACTGGGATGGTATTGAAGTATGTATCTCAGCTTTCCAGTCATATCCAATTTATGCAATTCCAACACTGTTTAGGGACCCCAGTATGCAGAGATATTCAAATACACTAGGCGAAAGTAACACATTTATACCATATGCAAAAACCTGCATGGTATTAGCATAAAGTGGGCATGTCTGTAAAGGGGTATCCATTTTCATTCAGATATCTTGAGTGGTCAGTGGTCAAGGAACCCCTTTAAAAATGACCATGCCAGTTTTTCCATCGAATTTAGCCTACCTTTGGAGCGTTATTTAACCCCCTTCACAACATGCATGACATGGTTGGTACCAGTGGATGCCTTAGGTCATCTAGTTTTATAAGATACTGAATGATAAGAGATAAAGATAATGGGGTGGCACTTGGGATGGCCAATCATATTTCAGGGGTGGCCCCATATCTGGACATGCTAGCTCCTGTAACTTATGCCAAGGACCCCGTCGATATGGTATTTCCTGTCCTGCCTGTTTTTTGCCACATCATGCGAGTACATTTAGGCTGGTGATATCCCGCTTGACTTCACAAAGGATGCAATTATTTGGTGCTCAACAATAAAGGTGTTAGCAGCACTGCTAACAGAGACAGCTCATGCACATGTGACGTTCACGAAATGTAAGGTCACATTTTGTGTAATTTTGTTTGCTTTATGTTGAAAATGTTTCTGTGAAAGAAATGTGTTAATATGTGCGGAAATGGTCAATTATTGCTTCTTGGTAAGCACAAAAGCCTTCTTTATATGATACATGCGCTTTGCTTCCCCTCTTGGACTCTTGGCACGGACTCTTGTTTACATCCTCATTCTGCTGAGCAAAGCTACGCGGAAAGGAAACAACGGTTGCCTGTCTCATCCTTTCTCCTGTTTAACAGGTTGGTGGTTTTAAAACTTGTATAACTACCTACACTTGTTGCTATATGTAAATGAGAAGCTAGATTGATTTTGTAAGAGTACTGAATATGTTTGAATGGTTTTCTGAACAAGTGGCAAACACACAGTTTCTCTGTGTGTCGCGTGTGGCCCAAGATGGCGCTGCTGTATACTTTTTTATGTTGGGTTAAAAATTATTCTTTGGCAGTGTTGGGCAAGTTACTTTTAAAAGGTAATTAGTTACAGTTACTAGTTACGTCTTCCAAAAAGTAACTCAATTAGTTACTCAGTTACAAATTATAAAATAATATTGTTACTTCAGAAAGTAACTATTGTGTTACTTTCAAGTAAATTTTTAAATGCTCCAATGTGACCCCACCTCCACCCCTCTTTAACAGAACTTAAAATACATGTGCATGTTCAATTATTTATGATAAATCTGAATATTATAATGAGATGGACACTTAATACAATCCATTATTAACAGAAACAATGTACACAAATCTAAACTATTTTAATGTTGCTGTGGGACAAAGTGAGACTAGCCTCCAATCAAATGCCATTGTGTAGATATTATGTTTGTATAGTGGATCGATACAAATAACACAATAGATGTTTTGGAACTTTTGATATTTATTGCCCCTCAACAGGCCACAACTGGGCAAAATTAAATTATGCTTGTTAAGCACTGTACCAAAAATAAATAACAAATATATACACTCTCTGTAGTGCAAATAAAACAAAAAAAACTTCAGTCAGATATACTGTACTAGTCGAAAAAGTAGAATACTGTAACAATATGAGGTGCTTTCAATCTAACTGAAAAGTACAAAACTAAGGAATCCAAATATAAACAGGTAATACATAAGAAATAAAAAATACATCTCCATAAAAATAAATCTCTTTCTCTGGCCATTGACAATCTCACTTCAAGAGGCTGCAGCCAGCCAACAAATAAATCTAAATTAAATGATGCTCTTTAAGCAATGTACCAAAAATGTATTCAAACAATATATACACTCTTTTTAGTGCAAATGTAATAAGATGCAACACAACTCGCCATACCTGTCTCTCGTTGACTGACTCGCTTGTGTTGTTCGTTGTGTGTCCGACTATGTACTTTAGAACACCCGCCCAACTCTACCTCTGATTGGCTTACCATGACATTTTACTCAACCTCAGCCAATCGTCAGCATTTATGCGCTTGTCTCGTACACTGCCCACTAACCAAGGAAGAACAGTAAAAAAAAAAAAGTCTTTGCCTCTCGGCTCAGAGATCTAGTTGGTCTAATGAAAAAAACTGCTTCAATTATAGTAACACGCAGCATTTTTTGGCAGTAACGGTAACGGCGTTATTAAGATTCAATTCAATTCAATTCAATTCAATGCAATTTTATTTGTATAGCGCCAATTCATAACAGAAGTTATCTCAGGACACTTTTCAAATAGAGCAGGTCTAGACCGAACTCTTTAACATTAATTACAGAGACCCAACAGTACCACCATGAGCAAGCACTTGGCGACAAGGGCAAGGAAAAACTGCCTGTTAAAAGGCAGAAACCTAGGACAGATCCTCCGGCTCTAGGTGGGTGGTCGTCTGTCTCGACCAGTTGGGGTGAGAGAGAGAGAGAGAGAGAGAGAGAGAGAGAGAGAGAGAGCGACAGACAGACAGACAGGTGCACAGCAACAACAGTATTGGCAATGGCAGTCAAGCAGGACCATGGCAGGAGGCTCCACCAGGATCCATGAGAACCTGCGAGACGAGAAAGCACAAGAACTCCGGGGAAGAAGTGGAGTTAGTAACATGCATTAAAGGGACATGAATGAGTGCAGAAAGAGAGAGGAAGAGAGTAGCTCAGTGCACCATGGGAAATCCCCCCGATAGTCTAGGCCTATAGCAGCATAACTAAGGGATGGTTCAGGACTCACCTGATCCAGCCCTACCTATAAGCTTTATCAAAGAGGAATGTCTTAAGCCTACTCTTGAATGTGGTGAGGGTGTCTGCCTCCCGAACCACAACTGGAAGCTGGTTCCACAGGAGAGGAGCTTGGTAACTGAAGGCTCTGGCTCCTGTTCTACTTTTAGAGACTATAGGAACCACAAGTAGCCCAGCATTCAGAGAACGTAGTGTTCTAGTGGGGTAATAGGGTACTATGAGCTCTTTAAGATATGAAGGGGCCTGACCATGAAGAGCTTTATAGGTGAGGAGGAGTATTTTAAATTCAATTCTACATTTTATAGGGAGCCAATGCAGAGTAGCTAGTACAGGAGAGATGTGATCTCTTTTTCTAGTTCCTGTCAGTACTCGTGCTGCAGCGTTCTGAATTAATTGGAGCGTTTTAATGGACTTATTGGGGCAACCTGATAATAAAGAGTTGCAGTAATCCAGCCTTGAAGTAACAAATGCATGGATTAGTTTTTCTGCATCTGTCTGTGATAGTATGTGTCTAATTTTTCTAATATTACGTAAATGAAAGAAGGCAGTCCTAGAGGTCTGCTTTATGTGGGAGTTAAATGACAAGTCCTGATCAAAGATAACTCCAAGATTCCTGACAGTGGTGCTAGAGGCCAAGTTAATGCCATCTAGAGTGACTATATCTTTAGACAATGAGTCTCTAAGGTTTTTGGGGCCAAGAACAAGAATTTCGGTTTTTTCTGAGTTTAACATCAGAAAATTGCAGGTCATCCAGGATTTTATGTCCTTAAGACATGTTTGTAATTTAGATAATTGATTAATTTCATTGGGTTTGATTGATAGATATAACTGCGTATCATCTGCATAACAGTGAAAGTTAATGGAGTGATTCCTAATAATGTTGCCTAAAGGGAGCATATATAAAGTAAATAGTATTGGTCCAAGTACAGAACCTTGTGGAACTCCATGACTAACTTTAGTATTTATGGAGGATTCATCGTTAACATGTACAAACTGAGAACGATCTGATAAGTATGACTTAAACCAGGTTAGGGCAGTTCCTTTAATGCCAATTTGATGCTCAAGTCTCTGTAAAAGAATATCATGGTCAATGGTGTCAAATGCAGCACTAAGATCTAATAATACAAGTACAGAGACAAGTCCATTGTCAGAAGCAGTCAGAAGGTCATTATTAACTTTAACCAGAGCTGTCTCTGTGCTATGATGAACTCTAAATCCTGACTGAAAATCCTCAAATAAACTATTGTTATGTAGAAAGTCACACAACTCTTTGGCGACTACTTTCTCCAGAATCTTAGAGAGGAACGGGAGGTTAGAAATCGGTCTATAGTTGGCTAAAACCCCTGGGTCAAGAGTAGACTTTTTAAGAAGGGGTTTAATTACAGCTACTTTAAAGGACTGTGGTACATATCCTGATAATAAAGAAAGATTAATCATATCCAGTAAAGAAGTGCCAATTAAGGGAACAACTTCTTTAAGCAGCCTAGTTGGGATCGGGTCTAACAGACAGGTTGATGGCTTCGATGAAGAAATGATTGAAGTTAACTGATGAAGATCGATAGCAGAAAAACAGTCTAAATATACATCTAAGTTTACATTGACAGAAGTCCCTGAACTTGGAGAGCCACTGATAACTGTTGATGGCAGTTGGTGATTAATTTTTTCTCTAATAGTAATAATTTTATTATAGAAGAAGCTCATGAAGTCATTGCTACTTAGGTTTATGGGGATATGTGGCTCGATAGAGCTGTGACTCTCTGTCAGCCTGGCTACAGTGCTGAAGAGGAACCTAGGGTTGTTCTTATTTTCTTCTATTAGTGCTGAGTAATAGGCTCCTCTGGCATTACGGAGGGCCTTTCTAAGATGGCAAGAGTAATCAATTAGAGTAAGGCCGTTATTCCCATCACTGTTCTTTGGTACAGTATTTTCTTACCTGTGTAAATAAATTGAATGTTACAGTTAAATATATATATATATATTGTAAGCAGTTAAGATGGTTAAACTGTGCAAGTCTTCAGCTCATGCATTTCTCCTGTTCCAACCCCGTCATTAAGAGCAATATGCTAGTTTCTTGTTATTTGCACTATGAGTGAGATTAAATAAGGGAATATGTGAGGACAAATTATACATTTGATATGTTATGGTACTGTTTTCAGAAGTTGTGAATTAAATTGTAGCTCAGTTAATTGACTGAATGAGGATGTATTAATGCAGTTGTATACTGAACTCAGAATTACTCTTTATGAAGAAGTGGAAAATGTGTGTTTTATTCAGAAGTAAGAACATTGTGCTATAACTAGCCTATATGTATTTTGGTTTAGTTTTTGATATTGTG